CAATTAAATTGGATATCTGGTAACAAATACGTGTGGGTATAGTCGATTTGCTATACAGTAAGTACAGTTGTATGCAGTAAAATCCTAGAGTCTACTATCCCTTTAACATATTATCAGAAGTAGATAATAGGGAAGGAGTGTGACTTCAATAAACAAGGGAAATTCGTCATTTACTAGCTTTCGAATACCTACGATTTACTACGCGTAACTCAACCAACTTGAGCTCAAATCGTACACAGTACATTCGCCTAGCATCATGCGAAATTGTTTCCTCGTATACACCCGCAATCTGGAGATACAGACTAAAACGTACGACACGATCCTTTATTCTGTTGCCAGCAAACCGAATGTATAAACCGCCTAACTTGAAACAAAAGGCAGCTACTAACGACTCTTGCGCACTCTTGCACCCTCGGCGATGCGGTGTGGCTCGCTGGGAGATTGGATATCGACGCAACACTCGGCGAGCTTGACTTGACCTAGCTGCCTTTTGTTTTAAGTTAGGCGGTTTATACATTCGGTTTGCTGGCAACAGAATGGATAATCGTGTCGTACGTTTTAGTCTGTATTTCCGGATTGCGGGTGTATACGAGGAAACGATTTCGCACGATGCTAGGCGAATGATTTGTGTACGATTTGAGCTCAAGTTGGTTGAGTTACGCATAGTAAATCGTAGGTATTCTAAGGCTAGTAAATGACGAATTTCCTTTGTTTATTGAACTCACACTTCTTCCATACTATCTACTTCTGATATTATTATTACAGTTATGGAAACACCATTTTTATGGTTGGTAACCTGACTAAATTAATGTTTATGCAATATATTTCTTCCAGCCCCAGCAAAAAGACGCGGGTGGGACGAAAACCGATTTGGGCGATGCTGAGGAGGTCGAAGATCATGAAGATAACATTGATGTTGCTGAGGAAAACCGCAAACTGATGGAGCGATGTGAGGACCTGTATGTTACGTTAGAGAACAGCAGGTGGCAGCACTATGGCAGTGTCAGCCTTGAGCCAGTGAAGGGTGACAAAGTGAATAACGATGAGACAGAGGTGACAAGTAGTGCAACAGCAGAACTGAGTGCAGAGCCAGTGAAAGCCGCCGCCTGAGGAATGGTTGGTTGGCGCAGGATTGTGAATTCTTGTACAGTAACTCTAGAATGCATAGTTGTAAGCTAATTGGTAGTGTTATGATACACAGTTATTATATGCATAATAGCATTCATGAGTAGTATTTCTATAGTACTGGTCTGATTCAGGTTCTTCTATGTGTTGTTTCCTATTTCATACTAAATGTTGTTAGCAGAGTAAGTGAAATATTCCTGGATTATGTCCACGTTCTGGGCAGTGTTGAACTTGCAGCTTTCAGCATTGCTTGTGAACCGACATTCCAATAATGATTGTGAACGACAAAATGATAAAACATGAAATCTATGTAATAAAAGAACGTTTTTCTCATCAACATACACTATAATTCGTTCGTTGTATTTAGACATTGTCTTTTTTGCACTTTGCAAGAAGCAAAGCTGAATTGAGATGTGTGTTTCTGAAGTATCCTCACTGTCTGGCTCAGTCTAACTCTACGTTGAGCAGCTCGTTGGTCAGTGGTACCCCTGATGAAATCATGCCCTTGCAGGCATCACACAGTATTTATATAGACATGGACAAGCGAAGCACATCCGTAACATATCATCTGTTCTGGAGGCATGAATTAATAATCGCTTTATACCTTTGCACAATATACGGAGTTTGCCCTTTGTGTGACTTATGAGGTTTTAACGGACGCTTAGTGCTCTGTGATTCCCTGCATGCAAAGTGCAGCATGCACTGTTAGAACCAATCGGGAATGTTTTCTAGTGCATCGCAAACTTTGTAGCGGCCGTAAAAAAATAACACTGAAAAAAAATGCTATCACATGTGCGTTGCAGATTGCAATTATAAGGTCCTCGCCTAGAAGGAAATACATTTAGGCTCATGTTTGGGTGCGTGCGTGCGTGCGCGCGCGTGTATGTGTGCGTGCGTGCATGCGTGATTATGATCTAATAGAACTAGTGATCGATGCTATTTTCAATCTTAAAAGGCATGTTAACCAACTTACCCGTGTAGCCCTTTATCTCGTAACAAACGCGAGGACCGTTACTTTGGGCTGATGGAAGGGCAGCATATATTAGGTAAAGCTAGATCAAGTGATCCACGCCGCGGGGGTCTTATAACGTTCATATGCAATGTAACGAACAAACTCCACATCTAGTAGGTTTCCCGTTTTTTCGCCGACGTCTGATTTTCGTCCCGCTTTTTGCTTTGATTGCTCCAACTTGGCCGATCGGCTAGGACTTGCATGATTTCACGCGGGTCCGTTGCTAAGCCTTCTATACGAGAGCATACACATGGAAGTCGTACAGTTTTTCTCAACGCGCCGTGCCGCTTGGAGTTACCTAGCGGTGAAGTTAGCAACTCTAGGTATCGACGCTGTGCCCGTGACGTCATCCGTCGTCGCCCCGTGATTGGACGAGGCGCGATACGATTGCGTGTTTACTCGTGCCGCTTATCCGTTATCGCGTTTCGAGTTCTGAAAGTGTCAGAGTTTACCGTCTGCAAAGTACTCGAGTCCCCTGGACAGGCAACCGCGTCTTACGGAGACGCAGCAGAGCGAGTGGAACCATCGTCTGCGCGTTCTTCCCTCGCGGGCTCGGCACACGGCACACTGGCGCTATCCCGCCGACTGTTTGCTTGTCCGATCCGCCGCTCGCAGGACTATTTCTCGCACTCTTGCGCAGACGCTTGGCGCGAGTGATCTCCCGCGATAGGTAAGCAAGCTCCCGCCGCGTAGACGACAGCAGTACGATATCTCCCCCGGCAGACAAACTCTCGGCTGCGGTGCACAGGCTATCCCCCGCTCTCGCGTAGCCAAGCTGGAGGCCACGGATTACTGACGTCACTTCCTCGTCGTCGCTGACGGAACCAGAGATACTCGGTTCCATCCATCCCGATTATACTATCGATAAAGATTGGTCCCGAGTCAGCGGCGGCCGCCGCGCCCGACTTCCCAGAGAGCCACGGATTCCGTCTGCTGTCGGTACGTACAGAACAGTGGGCGGGAGACGCGCCGTACGGGAAGCGCAGGACATGAACGTACCGGGGCAGTTCGCCGGCTGCAGCACGTCGTCGCGCAGCTTCGTGAAGCATGACGACGCGACAGCGCAGCGCGCGCACGAGATCGCGCGCGACAACGTCGTCGGCTACAGCGTCGCCGCCGACCACGCGTTTCGAGACAAGTTCGCCGACGGAACGGCGCCGCACGGCGGCGACGCGCGCGCATATCCGCTGCAGACGACGTCGGCCGCTTGCTGGTCGGCAGCACCGGGTTTCGGCGAGCCGACCGAGCCGTACTGCCCACCGTACAGCCGCCCGCCGTATGCCGACGTCGCCGAATGTCAGCCCGTCTACGCGGCGCCGACGAGCTACGCGTGCCCGCCGACGTACCGTGCCGACTGCGGCGCGTCGCAGAGCTACGACTGGATGTGTCGGCGGACAGAGGAAGCGAAGAAGAGTAAGAGTCAGCCAGAGACGGAGACGAGGATCCGGCGACCGATGAACGCGTTCATGGTGTGGGCGAAGGTGGAGCGCAAGCGGCTGGCAAGCGAGAATCCAGACCTACACAACGCCGATCTCAGCAAGCTTCTAGGTACGTATAGGGCGGCGGCGGGGTGGAGTGGGAGTGGAGCGGGTGTGTGTGGGGGGGGGGGCGTCTGCGGTTCGATTTAGTTCAAATAAACGGTCAAACATCGTACACGTTAATAACGTCTCTCGATGTATGGCGGATTGTTGGAGCTATGCCAGGCGCTGCATGATGACTATGCAATATATATATATATATATGAGGAAATTAGATCAGTAGATAGCTGACGGGTTCAATTCCACCATAGGATTCCGGATTTAATGGTGTGGTTAGGATTATGTTAGGAGTATGAATACGATCAAGAGCTAATAATACCTATTATTACCGAGTATTATTAGCTCTTGATACGATTATGGAGGGGGGGTAGAGCTAGGGTTAGGTTAGGGTTGGGGTTACGGCTAGGGTGATAAGAGGGTCCTGATTCGGTAACCCAAATCTTAGTTCATAATAAATATTTTAACCTTTTCTTAGTTCTCAGTAAATATTTCCATTACTCACTAAAACTAGTTTATAAAACTAATAAAGTAAGCCGAAAACTAAGAGGTCAATTAATAACCAGTATAAACCTCAAAGCAAAAACCAATTTAACGGTAAATTTGTTGTCGTTTTTACGCTTACATTAATTTCTAGAGAAGGGAATCACGCATTGCACTATAGGTAGAAGAACACGTCTGATAGTAAAAAAAACTATAGTTTTACACATTATTTATAAAACTAAAAGATAGGGCCGATTCACGCACCACGCTACTCCATCACCGCGCCCTGCTAGCGATGGTGGTTTATGTACCAAACTACTGTAGTCCAAACTAGTCAAAAACTAGTACAAACTAGCGCTGAGAGGGTCTATATGTCCCCCAGGGTACTGCCGGAACGTACCCTGGTACTATCTAATATGCCGGACCGTACCTCGCCTACTCCACTAACGAGTCTAGGGAGTCGCCTACGCCTACTCCCTAACCCTAACCCTAACCATATCAAATAGTTACCAGGGTACGTTCCGGTATACCGGACCGTACCCAGGGTACGTTCCGGCAGTACCCTGGGGAACATAGACCCTCTCAGCGTAACTATTTGATATGGTTAGGGTAAGGGATAGGGAGTAGGCGTAGGCGACTCCCTAGACTCGTTAGTGGAGTAGGCGAGGTACGGTCCGGCATATTAGATAGTACCAGGGTACGTTCCGGCAGTACCCTGGGGGACATATAGACCCTCTCAGCGTAACTATTTGATATGGTTAGGGTTAGGGTTAAGGAGTAGGCGTAAGCGACTCCCTAGACTCGTTAGTGGAGTAGGCGAGGTACGGTCCGGCATATTAGATAGTACCAGGGTACGTTCCGGCAGTACCCTGGGGGACATATAGACCCTGTCAGCCTTAGTAGGATACATT